TTAAACTTTTATATTTCGTAACAGCTTGGTCAATTAAAAACCATGTTTTATTCTGTTCTGCATTACCACTTATTCGGAGGAAAACTGAAGGTATCAAACGACTCAAACCCATTATAGCTATTTGGATTGTTCCAAATTTTGATTTCATGTCTGTTATCATACTATCTAGCATGGGAATAAATATAGCAATCCTGAAATATTCTTCTAATGAGTTACTTTTAATATTTGCACGATTTGCTTGTCTTTCTATACATCTTGGCATTTTTAATTCAATATTCAGTTCCTCTGCAACTTTAGAAACTCTCGTAAAGATATCATGAAATATTTGCTCAACATTTTCTCTTCTAGATTGAAGATTATCTATGACTCTATTAGCATGTTGAGCTGCCTCGACCAAATCTAAATTTTCTGTTTGTAAAACTTTGCTTAGTGGCTTAGTTAGAATTAATGGATCGGCAATTGAGTACAAAGCTATTAAAAATTCAGAATCAGTTAAAGCCGATAACAACGTCTTTGCTTTGGATGATGTTTCTCTGTCATGCCAATTAGCAATATTTTCTAAAGAAGCTAGAATATATTGCAGGGACTGTCTAAAACTGATAATCGAATCATGGCGTTCAACCCAACGTGTCTCACATAAAAGCATGACATTTTGTCTCAAATTTTGACTTTCATTTTTAAACATTATTCTTTGCACTAATTTTCTTTTGGCCGATGCGCGAAAAAAGGAAGCCGTTTGCTTAATAGTGCCCATTGCATTTCTTATGGCTTGTACATCGGATGTTTTAGATAAACTCAAGTTCAGTCCATGGTTAGTACAAACACAATGAATACATGATGTAGCTTTTTTTGATATTTCTGCAGCTGCACCACATGACTGAGATGTCATGACAGAACATCCATCTGTTCCACAACCAACACAATGCTGTGGATCTAAAGTTAGCGCTTTTAGTAAACGTAACACTGAGCCGGCTAACATTTTTCCGGTTAATTTTGGTTCCGATTCTATATCTTTGTATGCATCCTCTAGAGAATCCACAAATGCAACAAAATCTTCTCTAACCTGGCCGTTGTAAACATATCGTAAGCTCAAAGACAATTGCTCAATACCATATATGTCAGTTGTTTCATCAAATAAAACTGAATAAAATTTGGCTGCTTTAACTCTCTGTACAATAGTATCTGTAATAATATCGCCAATTGTGGTTATGATTTCATTTTGAATCGTTTTGCTTATGTATGTCGCATTTGATTTAGATGATTTTAAATGTTCTTCAAGAACATGGTCTCCAGCATCGTCCCTAAACTGAAGTAGTTCTCTGAAATTACCCTCATTTCTAACTGGACCGGTACCATATACCCCTTCATTAAGCATGTCATTGTCCAAATTTTCATCATCTTCATCATCATCATTATCAGCATCGCCTGCATCATTAGTACTTATATTAAGTTTTCCGTCATCTCGATGTCCTCGTAGAGGAATATTTTGTTTTCCCAAAAAAATAATAGATTTAATTATGGGCTTCAATCTTTCTCTGTTTTCCTTTATTTGCTGATATCTTGCGGAATAGAGTTGATTAACAACTTCAAATGATGGATTTTGGTATGATTTGACAAAATCATTGCCCCTCTGAACTGACTCTTTGTGATACCTGTATTGTTCATGACAGCTGAGATCACCATCTTTGCCTAATAATTTTGCAAATGATGTAAGTGGTTTTTTTACTAATTTTTGCAATGGCGTTTGATGACTAATACCGCTGGTGTCAGCCATTAGAGCACAATACCTGCAAAATAAACCTTGTTGCACATGCGAGTATGTCAACCATGCATTAAATGTTTCCAAGTGACTTTTCAAAATGTACCGTTTTTCATTTTTACCATTTTTAATATGATTTGAATACGGAAATTTGTAGCCAAATTCTGGTTTCCATGGATTTTGTAGAAGTTCAAATTTTATATCATCATTAATTGTTTTATTACTGCTGCCCACATACAGTACAATATCATTATTATGTACAAAATCCATTTGTTGATAGACTTTTTCATTATTCTTTATCTTGTTATCTTCGTCATTATCGTGCAAAGCTACTTGCTCAAATGATTCATCATTTTTAACAATCACTTTTTCATTATGATTATCGGAACTATCGCCTTCATGTAGTTCTAAAAAAATAAACTAAATTTAACTTAACTCTGAACACTTATTTAACAATTTCTATGCTACTAGTGAACAAATTCATATCGTATGGTGATCTAACCTGGTGGATGTGCCCTTTTAGTTCGCTTCACAAAACGATCCATATATATTTAAATTAATCTTCTAAAAAAAACTGAAAATATGATTATGAATTATGATACTTATACAGTACTATTACTAGCGCAACTCAAATTTGAATTTTTAAAATGAAAATCAGACGGAAGAAGCATTCAAAAAATTTTCAAGTGTATTTTGCCACGTGGGTGCGTTCATAATTTTCCTTTGATCATTTGTAATAAAAATTATAAATAAATCAAAGTAAACATAAAACATTATATTATTCAATTAATTTACATTCTAAAATTTATAATCAAAAATGGATATATTCAACATTACAAAATATTTATTTAAAAATTTTCGCCCCCCCCCCCCTAGTCAAACTTCCTGGATCCGCCCTTGCAGTTCATGACAGCAGAAAATACGGCTGTAAAACATTTCTCAATGAGCCGACAAAATATTTAAAACCATCTTTATATTGGCCTTCCTGCAAATGCTAAAAAATGAACTTGATTCACCTGTCACCTTCACACATCATTCTCACCCATTTTCACTTATCACCCTCTCTCATTGTTTTTCATAGAAATAGAAAGAAATAGAAAGACATAGAAAGACATAAAAAGACATAAAAAATCCCATAGATTAATGATTCTTAACTTCAGAAATGAATGCTAGGATAGCAAAGAGCTTACTGTACTACAAAAGATTACCACTTAAAAAAGATTATCATGATTAAATAGAGCAAAAATCATCACTAACAAATAACTAATTTTAAAAAGTCTGCTTGGCTTGGTATATTGAAAAATTAAACCAGAAACTGATCAAAGCTGAAAATGCAGTGATATTTCTTAACAATGTGTGTATGTGCATTTGTAATATATTTTAATATCTTTTAAGAAAGTAGAGAAAAAAGTAAAAATGTTTGCAGATATGTATTGGCTAGGTGAGAGCTGAACTCAGAATAAACAAAAAATTAAAATAAACATTAAAAATTTACAATTTATTGTTTTATTCATATATAATACAAATTATATATGACATTTAAATTTTATTAAACAAAATGGATAATAAATGAATAATTGAAGATTAACTTACCTCGAGGGATTGCTTTTGTGGAGCTTGTAGGATAAGTGTAAATGGGTGGAGTGGTAGTTGTAGAACTGGAGTAGGTTGGTGGAATAGCAGTGGTAGAATGAGTAGGGGAGGTTAGTGAAGTGGTAGTTGTAGAACCGGAGTAGATCGGTGGAATAGCAGTGGTAGAATGAGCATTAATTAGCAGACCATTGTCATCAAATGAATTAGAGATTGGTGAAATACCACCATTAGCCGAATTAGAAATTTGTGGATTAGTAGTATCTTTAGTAGCAGTATTGGAGATTAGTGAACTACTAGTATGATTAGTTGAATTATTAGATATTGGTGGACTAGTATCATTATTAGTAGAATTTGAGTATATCAAAGGACTACCATCATTAGAAGTAGAATTAGAGAATAAAACACAAATATCATCTGTAGAATTGGGGGAGATCATTGGAGTACTGCCATTAGTGGTAGAATTAGATGAATAGAACGACGTGTGATTGTGATTACATGGCGACGATGATGAATCTCGTTGTTGAGACTGTTTCAAGATCAACAATGAATTCGAAGTTAAAAAAATCACCACTAGTATTAACATTAACTTTATTAAAATCCCCATATTGTTATATTTTATAAACTAACTAAGATGTACCGGTAACAAGAAAGATGAAACTTAGATGCGAGAAACGAGCCGTCGACTAACCAACCAGGAAGAAGCGGTATCAACCGCACGTGGCAGACGTCAACATCCCTTTTCAAATAAACTCACTACTTCCCGGACCGAAGTCTAAAAAAAAGATAAAAAAAAGTTCTATATAAATCCAGATTAGGTTTACTTTTAAATTTTACAGATGATGCATTAAATATTGAATACATATATGCATGTTTATTCTAGTTATATGTATATGGCATGATTAATGTAGAATAGAATATATAACATAAAAACATCTATGGAAGTATATATAATATTTGTTTTTGAGCCCTCTATTATACATAACTTTATTTATTTATTGATGTACTACATATAATACAATTAAAAGTTTTTAATAAAAAACATTCAAATATTTGCCTTCCCTAGTTGCTCGTTCAAAAAATAAGAAGGTCAAGTTTTTTGTGTCGGTTCGGTTTTGTCTCAGGCTTCACAAACGAATTTTTAGAAAAACATTTTTTCATCATATTCTCGTTATTCCCACAATGTTCAAATCTTTTAATTCTATTACAAATTTGTCTTGTGCAAAATGGGTTGGTTTGTTAGTCTATTAATTTAATTAATTGTATTTTAATGTATTATAAATTTTTTAAACTTTTAGAGATTAGAATAAAATAGACTACTATAATATAATATAATATTAATAATATATAATTATATAATATATATATATATATATAGCAGGTTGCATAACGTTAAATCTTAAATGTACTATACTAAACTAGTACTACTATATTAATATTATTATTTTATAATATAATAATATAATATAATTATAAGTACTATTAAATTAATAAGATAATAAACTATTATAATTATACTTCTTATCTTAGCTTAGGAGATTATAGTATTATGTTTATTTAAATTAAATTAAAATATATATTTATATTTGTCATGTTATAGTATAGTGCTAACATTTTTACAATTTACAATGATTTTTAAATTTTTGTTATACTATACTATATTATTATAATTAATAGGTGTTATTAAATTCACGAGTATGTTTTACAACAAGTGGTTTCAAAGGCTTTTCACAGAATAATTGGAAAGATAAAAAGGTTTTACTACATGTACCTAAATTATGTGAGACAGCTCAATCTACCAAATACAGCACTGTATCTGAAAAGGCATATCATCACTTTTTATTCCTATTATTCAATTTAAAATATAAAGAAACACTATTAAATAATTTTGTTTCATGATCTATTCTATCAATATTAACAATAGCTAGGAAATAATACAACATGATTTTTTAACTTGAAGTTGTCGGTTGCATCTGTTTTCTTACTTAAATTATAAATTGACTACTTTTATTTTGATGTTTTGACAAGTAATAATTAATTTAAATGTAGGTTTGCAATTCTACCAAATCAATTTAAATATGTTCATGCACATCATTAGTTGAATTTTATCTTTATTTTTATATAAATTTTTCTAATTAATTTCTTCAATTTCTGAATCCCAGTTGAATGAAAAGGTAATTGAAAACTTAGATCCTAATATAACCAGTCTTGGCTTAGGTGGGTGGAGTCCAAAAGGCTTAGTAGAAAATGGATTGGAGTTTTTGCATTGCACATTAGATATTCCTTGGTGGTCAGCCATTGTTATTGGTCAGTTCTCTAAAATTAATTCATTCCATAAAGCCCATTACATTCATTGTTGTATTATATTACAAAAGATAGTAAAAATAAACATGAATATTTTAAAATTACAATGCCTAATGAGCAAAAAATGAAATTTATCTTTAATAGTCAATAGTTGATGGTTGTAATCAAAATTCCAAGTAAAGTTCAAATGGTTTGATGGTTGTAATCAAAATTTCAAGTAAAGTTCAAATGCTTTGATTCAGCGAATTTTAAATGAAAATTTGCCTTTTTCTAGTTTTTAGAACTGCAACTTTCAGATTAGCATGGAATATTTTTAACTATTAAAACAAAATAAAAATAAATATGGAAAATAAAAAGTCATATTCAAAAAAGTCACGAAATTTAGTAGAGCATTGAGTAAAAAGATATATAAACAGTGACAAATGTTAAATTAATGAATGAATCCTGGTGATTTGTGGTTTGATTGTTACAATGTTACATACATGCTTCCAGCTGGTATTTCTTAATATGAAATATAGGACAATTATTTTTTATAGTTTTTTTTTCATGAACAAATTAATGTTTATAAAGTGGTTAGCAATTTTAAGAGGTTGATATGGCTGGGGTTTGCTGAAAGTCTCTCATTAATCAGAAATGTAATATTGTAAACTGAATGTTATGAGCGGTAATTTAAAATAAGTTGACAGAAGCAATTATAATAAAGGAAGCTAGGGAAGGAAGAAAACGTTTGGGCATAAAGTTGCAATGTTTTGATTGTAAAGCAATGTTTTTTTAGCCAGAAAGTTTGTTAAAAAAACTATGGCCAATGTAGTAATTTTGACCTAGCCTTTAGATTGTGTAGTGGAAGACAACAATGATGATAGCACTATGTTGTATACTTTTGTTCTAATTTTGAATATTTGAGAAACATTATAAAAATATGGTTGGTTAGAGGAGGCTTGAAATTTATGTTTAATATAGTATTTTTATCAGTCAAAGTGTTTATAAGAAGAGAAGTCAGTTTTACAATCAAAACATTTGACTGGTATAATTTCTATCATAAAACAAAAATTAAAACAAATATTGATTGCTTTTCTTATTTAAAATGTTTTATCATTTTATTTCAATTATTTCCAGGTACCGTATGTTTGAGGTTAGCAATTTTCCCTCTTGTTATTTTAGCCCAACGAAATGCTGCAAATTTGAACAACAATATGCCGACTGTGCAACGACTCCAGCAGAGAATGACCCAGGCAAGAATGTCTGGTAATGTTCAGCAAGGTGAAGGATCTGTTGCATGCCCCAACTTTTTTACTTCTTTTTTTTATGTTATTTTTGTTTATACCTTCTTCAAAAAACTTGTTTTGAGTTGGATTCTAAGGTTATCATGGTAAAAAAATATGAAATTTTCAACAATTTTTGAGAGTGAAATGTTTTGTTTTGTCTTATTTAATATTTAAAATAATATTTTTTTCGATTTCTAAATTACATAAAAATTGCAATGATTTCTCAAAGCCATGGAATCAAGTAAACAACTGATGGAGTTTATGAAAGTAAATAATGTAAACCCGTTGAAAAATCTATTGGTCCCATTAGCCCAAGTATTTAACAACTCGTTTAACATGTTACTTTACTGCAATTAAATGTTTTTATACTTCATGTCTTATTTTATATTTTATGTAACTGTTTAATTCTTTCTCTGTCAATACTTTTTATTTATTTTTTTAAATTTTGTCATTGCTTTGGATTTTTCCAACGATTTCTCTTCATAGGTGCATTTAACAAGTGCACAACTTCCAGATGGCACGCACGCTTGTATGTAGTTTGCACATTGAAAATTTCTTCTTTCGATAGTTTTCTAAATGCACCCTCTAAATCTTTTCCATTTTTTTCTGATCCAAAATGGTCTACCTTTTCCTAACCTTAAACATTTTTTAACGTCTTCTATTCTCAGTTTCCTAGCTAAATTTTAATTTCGTTTATCTGACATTGACTGTTGCAGACATTAAGCTGTTTTTTATTTCAATCGAAATTTTTTCCACTCCCATATCATTGTTAGGCATGCTTCCGGTTTGAATTTTTCTATGGAAAGTTCTCGTCACTGCAGAATACCTTAATTTTTTCGTTTTAATGGTTTTTTCTTTTTACTTCCCGCCCCAAAGATAATTTCCAAACATTAGCTTATACTGTCTTGCACATTTTTGTTGTGTGGCCTAAGATTTTTATCAAACTTGTAACTTCCTCTTTACAATAAGATATAATCACCTGCTTTTTAACTTTCCTGATTTATAAGTTTCTTGCTCTTTTTTTATTAAATCATGTGTTTTATATTCTCATGTTGCAAGCAATTCTAAAATTTATTTTTTTTACACATCCGTATTTTTTCCTCCCAACTTTTTCTTCTATGTACTTGCTCACACTCACCTCTTTTCCCCAACATGTCCACTTAGGTTTTTATTACAATCTCATTATATTCATTCAAAGATCTGTCCCTTCCATCCTTTCTCGTCCGCTCTTTAGCACGTATCCCGACATTACGTGTAACAGTTTCTTGACGTCCTTACTATGTCCTCTGAAATTTTAAATTAAAATTCTATGTACATCACAATGTTAAATTAAAATTATTTGAGTTTTTCTGATGCTGAGTTACAGTTATGTGAGTGTTTGAGTGCCATTCCATTGACATTGATAAGGAGATTGAGATTGCGGTGGTATGGACATGTGTTGAGAAGGGATGAAAGGGTCGGGATTAGGCGAGTGTTGGAGTTCGAGGTTGAAGGAGTGATAGGAAGAGGTCGTCCGCGACTGGGAAGGAGAGAGCAGGTGGAGAAGGACAAAGTGAAAGCGGGGTTGCGTGATACTGAGGCGAGTGACAGATGTGAATGGCGTCGAGGGGTATTTTGGTTTCATCATAGGTAGCCAAACGGCAACCCCCGATCTCGAGGAAAATGTCGTCTAAACGTGTGTTGTTTGTTGTATTGTTGAGTGCCATTCCTTTTTCTTTTTAGGGCTTTCATTTATTTTACGTTGATCCAGTTTAGTTGTTAAAATTTAAGAAAAATTAAAGAGGAATCAACCTCAGAAGATAAAAAAAAATCATAATTATAATACTTTAATTTCTTCATCAAATTAGATTTTTGATAAGTTGATGATGAATGTTTATAAAAAAGATTATTTTGAAAATATATACGAAATAACTTTTTTAAAAATGTTTTCTATAAATTTTGAATTGACAAATTTGTTCAGATTCCTATCTTTTTATCAGTCTTCACGGCAATAAGAGAGATGACAAACCTTCCAGTTGCTAGTTGGAAGTCAGGAGGAATACTTTGGTTTACTGATTTGACCGTCCCAGATCCTTTTTATATTTTGCCTGTTGTTACTGCTGCCACACTTTTTGCAACAATTGAGGTTAGCACTTGCCGGTTAATTATAATATAATTATTAGATTAAATATTAGTTAGATTTTCCAATTTTTGAATGATTTATTTCTAAATAATTTTTAAAATTGTTTTTGATATTTCATTTGTATTTTTAAAAAATGCACCATTATATATATGTTAAAAAAAATTTGTTTATTTGTTACATATTGTCCCGAAGTTGTTTTGTAGTATTTGTTTGAAAGAAATAACGTTTCATTCTTTATAATCCAGGCCGTTATTAAAAAATTATAGATTAGTTTTTAAAGTTGATTTTTTTGTGATGGTTTAAATATTTTTATATTTAAACTATTTTATTAAGATATTTTAAATAATTTATTAGCGATAATCTTCTTAAATTATTTTTAGAAATTAATTACTTTGCTTTCAGCTTGGAGTTGATGGGATTAAGGCTGACCAGGTTGGAAGTTCTACAATAAAATTTGTCCTCAGGTCTATGCCCTTTATCACGTTTCCAATCATGATTCAATTTCCTTCCGTTAGTTCATTTATTTTCTAGCATCATGATAACGTGATCCGTAATAAATAATTATAACGAACGTCGTTTTCAAGGCAATGTTGTGCTACTGGTTCACTTCAAACACATTCTCACTTCTACAAGTTTTAATACTGAAGATACCAAAAGTTAAATCGCTTTGTAAGATTCCTCCTCTTATTGATCACACTACAGCGTATCCACTGAAAGAAATAAATGTACCTAAACAAACGTTTGCAGAGGGATTTAAACAAAGTTAGTTGCTGTTTTTTTTGTTAGTAATAACGAGTTGTTCTTATGGTATTGAAAAAGAAAAATCTCTTTTTTTCATATATATATATAATTTTCTATTTAATTTTTTTAAAGTTTTGCTAGTTTTTTATTAACTGAAATTTTTTTTAATTTGACTTGTTTCGTTCTGTTGAACTTGAACTGTTTTTCCTCCAACAAATTCCAACTTTTTTTATATCTCCCACCTGATGTTTCAGACGGTATTAAATTTTTCCACTCAGGTTTCTTTAAAGAACACTTTCAAAAAATTAGCAGCTTTATGAGATTATAAAACATTTTTCCGCCAATTAAGCTGTAAATTCAACATAGGGAGAAAGTGAAGGAGCTAATAATATTTAATTACACATTTTATTGAAAGACAATAATGTTCTGAATAATTTGTTATTAAGTTTAATTTTTTAATTATTTCAGGTATGAAAAATATGGAGATCACATATAAATTAGCTGAACAGCAAAAGTTGAATGAAATTAAAATGAATAGGATTAAAACAAAGTCTGTTGAAAAACACAGATAACAAAATCCTACACGAATGTATTTCAAAGTTTCTAATTAAATTTATTTCTATAAATCCTTGTTTTTTCATGAATTTTAAGTTTTTGAAAGAAAATTATTTTTTTCATATATTTAAAACAACAACATAACACACGTTTAGACGACATTTTCCCCGAGATCGTGGGTTGCCGTTTGGCTACCTATGATGAAACCGAAATACCCCTTGAATCCATTCGCATCTGTCATGCGCCTCAGTATCAGTATATTTATTAGTATCAGTATCAGTAATTTTACATATATTTAAAAATGAACTGCAATTATTGATATATGATCAGGGAAACGTCGTCATCATAATACATAAAGAGATTATATCATACAAACTACGGCCCGCAAAGCCATTTTATGCGGCCCGCTGGGCCTTGTTCGACCAAAAAAGAAAAAAGATCACATTACAACCATGCAAAAAGGTCGTCAGCCACATATTACGAGACAAAAAAAGGTCTAAATAATTTGCTTTTCGAATACATATGTGGCCCTTCAATGGTCAAATAGTTCACAATGCGACCCTCACAGCGAAAAGTTTGCCCACCCATGTTTCAAATAGTTATTCATTATAATAGCACTGATGCCTTATAAAACTATTACCAATTAAAATAAATATTATTTCAAATAAATCAACACATGAAAGGAATGAAATTCACAATAATGTGGTTTAGAATTTATTTCAAAATTTTCCTTCAACTACTTAAAAAAAACATTTGAAAGGATTTTAAAAAAAGACAAAGAAACAAAAAAGAAAACACAATTTCTAACAATTTGTTCGCATTATCAGTAATATTTTAAACAGTATATTATCATTATTATTGAAAATATTTAATTAATGATAAAAAAAACTTTATCATTTTGTCATATAAAAATTTTGAACTTATTTCGGTTTTATTTTGCGCGTTTTTTGTTGTCATGTATTTTATTTCGGTTATGTTTGTTTGGCGCCTTTTAGTTTCGTTTACTTTACCTTGTTCTTTTTCGTGTTTTAAATCTTCTTCATTTTACATTGGTCATGTTTATATACAAACGTAAAAACAAACATACACAAGCGAACACAAACGTACAAGCAAACATACACAAACTAACACTAACAAACGCGCAAACACGCATTCGATGTTACTACGATATTTGTTCTCATCTTTTCTTATTTTTATTAATATAGACCTATAGGTAGGTGTAAAATGAGTTGAGTTAATAAGTTCGAGTTTGTATGTACGCATGCATATACGTATGTATGTATGGATTTATGTATGTATTTGTATGTTTGTGTGTGTTGTGTTGTACCGTTGTTTATGCGTTTGTATATGTTATACATACGATGCGTATGAACAGATTCCAATGTAACTTATGTTTGAGAGTATTTGCGCTAGAAGAATTGCATTTTTATCAAAACTAACAAGAAAAGAAGAGGCATTTATTTGAACGCCATTTAGTGAGAAGCCCCCTCGGCGCGTCAAGGCAGCCGTTCACGAGGGGGTTAATAATAAAACGATAGTCTAGAAATAATAAGTAACGAATTCGTCTAGAAATAATAAATAACTTACCTAAAATTAAACAAAAATAATATTGTGTTGATTGTCGTGTTTGATTGTTGTTGTTGTGTTGAACAAAACAATACAACACAACACAAATAAACTAGAATGTAAGAAAGAAAGAATAGAGTTCCTAACTTATCTATGTTCACTAATTTAACTCACCTACCTTTGTTCACTTAGCTCAACTTACGAATTAATTCTACCTATTTGTACAATTACGAAGAGAATGTAGAATAAGAAGAAACGTCTAACAAACAAAACAACGAATGTATGCATGTATGTGTGTGTTTGTGTGTGTGCAAACTAATATTATCAGTAAAATAAACGAATATAGAAATAATGTTACAATTTAAATAACGAATACGTCTAGAAATAATAAATAACTTAACCAAAATATAACGAAAATAATATTGTGTTGATTGTCGTGTTTGATCGTTGTTGTGTTGAAAAAAAAAACAAAAAAAATACAACACAAATAAACTAGAATGTAAAAAAGAAAGAATAGAGTTCCTAACTTACCTATGTTCACTAAATTAACTCACCTACCTATGTTCAATTAGCTCAACTTACGGATTAATCCCACCTATTTGTACGATTACGAAGAAAAAAGTAGAAAAAGAGGAAACGTCGAACAAATAAAACAACGAATGTGTGCAGGTATGTGTGTGTGTTTGTTGCAAACTAATAATATCAGTAAAATAAACGAATAAATCTAGAAATAATATGTAACAAATACGTCTAGAAATAATAAAATAAAAAATTAAGAAATAAAAAAGTGAGACCAGGCGCTAAGGAAATGCCACAAAGCGCCTGGTCTGATTTCAACGTGTTTTCGGCTCCTATTTATACCAGTTCCATTCATATATTCATATCATTTCAATCATTGACATCATAAAAAAAAGTTATTTAATGTATATGAATCATTATTATAGGTGCTTAACAACAATATATTGACTATACTAAAATGAATTTACGGACTTCCTGAAGGGATAGTTCGAGTATGTGTACACGTTTATCTAGTTGAATTCAAATGTATTTTTTTATTTAATTTCTTTTATATATTATACTTACAATCAATTCAATCACTTACATCCGTAAAAAGTTTATTGGTTTAATGTTATTGATTTTTCATATTGATCTTCACAACAGAGCTACTCAAACTTCGAAACATTCTGATTGACCGGTTAGAACTGCTGTAATTCTTTTTATCTTAACATAATTTTCTGTATACATGGATTCTAAATGATTTATACATTTTTATTATATAACTTCCTTATGTATGTATGTGCGCGCGCAGTTCAAATTATTCCGAGAGAATTCAAAATAATTTGACACCACACACCTTACTTCACTTTAATTGTGTAATTTAAATGTATAAATATAAAAATTTATTTGGTAAAAAATATATAAAAATATTTGGTAAAATGTATTTTATGAGAATTGAATGTAATGTTTATACTGGCTAGTTTACCATCGTACATTTCAATATTTTTTACTATTAAAATGACCTCATTTCCGCCAACAATTTTGCAACAAAGTGTCAATCCTATTTTAATAATGCTATTGTTTAGAAATTGTTTTAATTTTGCTATTGTTTAGAAAAATTATTATTTTAATATATATTTATATTAAATATTAAAACATTTTAATATATCCGTGCAGTCAAACCGTGTCTCCGCTAGGCTGAACCAGGCGTCTTTAACCAATAGGCTATTACTAACCCGAGTGTATAAATATAAAAATATAGTTAATAACTACACATATCTATTTATTTATAAATTTAGTTCTTTGTGTATATAATATTACGTAAAATACAACGTTTATTCCGGCTGATTCACTAACGTACATATCCTCCAACGATTTCGTAACAAATTGCCCATCCTGTTTCAATAATTCTTATGCCGTTGTTTAGGAAAACAGAGTGATTGAATAAAATTTAAGAAAATTTTTGTTTTTTGATTGGTTAGGTGGCAATCAATATCGATATCGCGATTAAATTAAATTAAATTAAATTAAGATGTTTTTAAATATCAAGGTTGTTCCTTCCTTCGATATGTTGGTTGATGCACTTGCACACGCACGCACACATACACACACACACATACAACATACAACATACCAACCAAACAGTAAACCAAACTACCAACGAAACAACCAACGAAACAAACGATCCACTTACCAAACAGCCAAAGTATCAACCTTTCAACCATCCAAACAATTAACAAACCAACCAATCAAACAAACATACAAATAAATAAATAAATACGCGTATGCATGTGTTTTTGAGTGCGTAAGTGTATAGCGTGCCTTTTATACATATGAAAATATGAAACGAAACAAATGAATCATGTTTTGTTTAAATTAAACCGGATAAAAATGTAATTAAATAATAAACAAACAGACAGACAAACAATCAAACAAACAAACTAACAAATCGGCAAACAATAAAGACAAAAAAAGACTAACAAGAAAATAAATATGTATTTGTGTTTGTGTGTGTGTGTTGTGTGTGTTGTGTGTGTCTGTGTCATATACACACATGGAATGAAAAAATTAAAAAAAATTAAAAAAACAAAGTTTTATAAAAAAAACATCCGGTAAAAAATATTTTTAAATAATTGATTAAAATAAAAAGCTTATTTATGGAAACCGTGTGAATGACTGAATGGATGAACGAACGAACGTATGAATGAATGAATGAATGAACGAACGAATGAATGAACGAACGAACGAATGAATGAATATGGATATATGGATATATATAAACATATTCACAAACATTTTTATGTACATATATAAATTTCACAATTGTTTATGTGTTTAAGGAGCGTTGGCAAGAAAATTTGGAATTCATAACGACAAACACCTACACATGCATACAAGTATCTAAAATAATTCAAAACGACAAACATGTACACATGCATACAAGTATGTAAAATAATTTTTTAAATAATAAATTTATTTAATAATTAAATAAAAATATTATTAATTGCGTGTGTGTACGTGTACGTTATCCGGTGTTCAAACCAAACGAGCCAATCAGGAAGTCAGGCTAACGTTCCTTAATTTCCTTCTAGTATAGATACTATGTATATTGTCGTTAAGCATGTATGACAGTGTTTTGTATACATCAAACAAGCTTATCATTGATACTAATGATTGAAATGTTGAGAATGTATGAATGAAAGTAGTATAAATAGGAGTCGAAAAAACGTTGAATTCAGATCAGGTGTCCCTCGGCACATGGTCGGGGGCGTCTGATCTCATTTTTTTACGTTCATTATTTTTCCGTGGTTTTATAGAGTTTTATTTATTGCGCGGTCATATAGAGTTTTATTTATTGCGCGGTTATATAGAGTTTTATTTATTGCGCGGTTATGCACACACACATACATACATA